AAATCCTCGACCACTGCTCCAGTACCTGAATGTGCTTTCTTTGCTGCCTTTTCTCTCTCTTTTTTTTTTTTTTTTTTTTTCCCATTGTGCTTATTAAACCTCCTCCTGTATATTTTCTAACTTGTTAACACCATCAGTTTTCTCTTGTCCACCTGAGGTCTCTCGCAGCAGCCTCCTTGCGTTGTTTTCATTTTTGACCTAGGAGCTGACCTTAACCTCTTCCCCTCATCCAAGTCTCCATGCCACCTATCCTGAGGATATTGCATTTCCATACTAACATGTTTAATACTCAGGGTTAACACCACTTCCCAAGCTAGTTTAAACAAGTACTCTCACAGCTCCCAGGTGCACACCCTGATGTCCCCCCGTGACCACTACCTTCCTGTGGTCAGCACCACCCTGCTCAACCTGCCTTCCTAGATTGGGAGATGTTGGTTTTCCATTGTATTGGGTATATCATGAGACAACTTGAGGGCTCGAAGGACTATCCTGCTCTCCTCAATTATGAATTTATCTTCTTCCCTCTCAGAACTTCACTGAACCAGTGACTGTCCATATGCATATTAATGGTATGAATAAGTGACAGGTATTTTTGCATGCCATCAATAATAAAGGTCAGCTGGTAGCTTTTCTGCACTATGTGAGTTGCTGTGGCTTCTTTCTGAGGGAACTGCACTGCTCAGTTGCCACAAAGATGGGTGGTTCAGTTGCGAAAGGATTAAGACTGTATGCATTGTTACAGAGCCTGCATTTGTGAAGCCAAATCCTGATTTCATGAATTATGGGCATCTGATTATTGTTTGTATTCCCAAGGAGCCCAGAATGTGTTAGGCACAGCTCACAAAAGACAATGCTAAGGACTCCACTTGGAAAAAATTACATTTAGACCATGTCTATCTTGCAGTTGGCACAAACTGATACTCACAAACATATACCTAGTCTGATTCTATACTCTAGTCCAGTAGGGCTAGAATAAACAGCCACAAGCTGAAGCATCAAAAGTTCCATGGGAATTTAAGGAAAAAAGTCTTGACAGTGAGGGTGACAGAGCCCCGGGACAGATTGCCAAGAGAGGCTGTGGAGTCTCCTTCTCTGGAGATCTTCAAATCTGCTTGGACGCAGCCCTGTGCCACGTGCTCTAGGTGACCCTGCATGTGCTTGGACTAGATGATCTCTAGAGGTCCCTTCCAACCTTATTCCGTGGATTCTGTGATTCTGTGATACCTGGGAGCTTTCAGCTGGCTACCTCTGGTACTGCTAGTACTGGAGTCACCAGGGTCACGCAGAGCTGCATGCGGGCTGCAGCAGCATGCAGTGCCACATGAGCAGCAGTGTTTGCAGCTAGCAAACACTGAGCTCTGGGCTGCCAGGTGGCTAAAGAGTGCACCTCTCAGGGTAAGACAGAATAAAGTAGTCAAAAGAACTAAAATGAACCAACCTCGGCCTTTCTCAGCCTGTGCGAACTGAGCTCTCCTCCACTTCTTGATAACTGAAGTCTCTATATTACTCCTGTGAACCTTTTCCTGTTGAAACACTCTGGTCCTATTTTAAGTAGCATGTGCAGTGTTTTTTTGAAACTTTTAAACTACTTTCTTAACCTACCACTCTGTGTGACATGAATACTACATGGATACAAGAAACAGATGCAAGAAATCATGCTTGCTTTCATTATTGTTTACTGTGAACTTGGCACATTTTCATGTACTGCTCCCTTTCTCTTTGATTCACATGGACATTTCACACAGTATCAGAGAAAGAATGATTTTTTTAGGAGAGATAATACAGTGATAACAACATACATGTAAGTTCAGGGACTGAAGGGCAGGAGAAGCACAATAAGGCCATCTGAACTGATTCTTTTTTCATCTATTGCGTTTCAGATTGATAGCATTTCTGTGAGAAATGGCAGCAACGGTGGCTCTGGACCAGATTCTGCCCTCAATTACATTAATATAAACTCAGAGGAAATCTACTGACTTCATTGATATTACTCTTAGTCTAGTGAAAGGTCAACATGAAAGAAGGGAGCCAACAGCACCTCATACAAGACCTGGTTCCTTTCACACTTGCTTACAGAGTGTCTTCTACCTTGACTTCTCTTCCTTCATATTTGAATGTGTACATTGCAT